TAGTGTTCTTACACAAATTTTTAAAACATATGCATGAAGAGTAGGAAGAGAATATTTCTTTGAAAATGGTTCTTCTCTGAATGAATTTCCAACTAATTTATTCTAAATTTTAAATTTCTTGTGTGTTTTAAGGATGCAAACAGATTAGCTGTTAGAGCATTTCTTTCCATCATGAGGAAAATATGTAAAAGTTCCATGACAACGTGCTCCAACAGTTTCAGACCAACCTCATCTTTCTGCCAAAAAACAGAAAATCAGTTTTCCAATAAGACATATCTCCTCTGAGAAACAGGAATGAGACAAATGTTTGCCCTCATATGATTTTTCTTTACACAGTAAAAATTAAACTGTCTATTTTTACCAGAAAATTTGCTTAATGTTTGCAGCTGTTTTGAAAAAAGTTTTATTTATTCACAATTTTCTTTTGTTATTATTAAAGTTACATATGATTAAAATATAATTTCAGTTACATAGGATTATGAAATTGTTTCTTAGCGCTTTTAGAACTCAAGTGGTTAATAGCTGTCACAATTCTAGGTTAAATGTCTTATAAACCCAAGCCTAAAGCATTATTTATTTTGAAATTATATATACTGCATACTGAATAGTTTTAGAAAAAATTGCATAATTTCAGATTCATAAGTAAAATGCTTCAGAAAACACAGACGTAAACATTTTTAATAAGTTTAGTGGTTACTGCAGCACTAGCATAAAGAATTATGATGCCTACTTCGTTCCACATATACACATATACAAAATTGCCATATTTAAGCATTTTAGGAAATGAATTGCAAAAACAAGTTAAAAAAATATAATTAGATACTACACTGCTGGCCATTAAAATTGCAACACCAGGAAGGAATAATCTGACGAGCGTCAAAATCACATGAAAGGAAGAAGAGGTTGGGATATGCAAATGAATAGTATTTCAGCGCATTTAAATAACGTAAGAGGGAGAAACGACATCTGTTTGCAGTATACCCAGAATCCACTCGTACAGTGCATCAATGCTTGCAACAGCAAGGACTATCAGCATGGCGACCATTACTTCGTCTTCCCTTGAACATTATAGCATAGAGAGAATTGCCATATGGACAGTGATTCTGGTGCACCGAACGACAAAACTGGATACAGGAGTGGCGAAATGTCATCTTTTCAAATAAGTCCTGGTTTTGCATGCAGTATTCTAATGACCATATACATATCTGGAGGCGGCAAGGAGACCGCACATCGCCTGCTTCTATTCCATATCAGCACAGGGTGCCTGCACCTGCTGTGATGGTTTGGGCAGCCATTGGGTACACAACATGCACATGTCTAGTTCAGATCGACAGTAATTAGAACGCAGATCAGTACATTTCTGACTTCTTATATCCTGTGGTTGCGTCCTATCTTCAAGGCCTGTCAAACGCCATCTTCCAACAAAATAATGCAAAACCACATGTTGCACATCGTGTTCTGACCTTTGTCAATACACATGGTATTCAGTTGCTGCCCTGGCCTGCACGGTCTCCAGATCTGTCACCCAATGAAAACATCTGGTTATTGGTTGCTGAGAGACTGGTCCGCCACCCCTCTCCAGCAAATATGGTGGATGAAGTGTGGCATAGATTGAAGCAGCATGGAATGAGTTGCCCGTTTCTGTCATCCAAGCCCAGTTCGACTCCATGCCTAACCGGGTAAAAGTCGTTTCTACTAATTTCACGCCCTGTAAACCCCCAAACTGCATATAAATTTAATCATTTTGTCTTCATGCCATACTGTTTGTGTACAATAAATATCTTTTCTGTCTTTGTTTTCCTTCATGATGTTCCAATTTTAATGGCCAGCAGTGTACGTTTTCTCTTTTGAACTTTTATAAACATGTTTAAAAATTACATATTTTAATAGAAGTTCACACAAAGCCTTCACAGAATCTATGCATAAAAAGACCATTCTTTCAAAAACTTTTAAACTGAAGTAGAAAAAACTATTTACTTTGTACTTAGACAGCTGTCATTAATATTTAATCTACAAATAAACTTAAACCTTCAAAACTGTTATGAACAAGGGCTACAAGAAAACAGAAGTTGGTCTTCTTGCAATTTGTACTACAGGACCCCATTTATCTGAAATAATGAGAGAAGACCTATTTCACAATTTTCGTTTTCCTTTCCTAGATAATTTATTGTTATTATTTTCATTAAAAAATTAGAACTGTACATTTTCAACAATATTATTATTTCTGAGTGCATTCTGCAGAAAATAAAAATTTTCAAAATTTCGTTTTTAAGCTTTTTGTTTTCACTAAATAAACAAAAGAAATAATATGTATCTGCAATTGCAATAGAAAAATTATTAAAATTTCCATTTTAATTACATTTTTTTACTTTCAAATTATCAAACCAATATAGACTGGATCAAATTAAAAAAAAAAATGATAGAAACTTGTACTAAGCAATAAATACCGTTTCACATCTCCTGTTTCAGAAACCATTTTTGGATATTGTGTATATTAGTGGGTGAATCAGTGACAGTTTCTTTATGCATTATTACAGTTGCATTAGTATAGCACATATACACTGAAGAGACAAAACATTATGACCACCTACTCAATAATGCACTGCACTAGCTTTGGTCAGGTAAACAGCTGCAACTCGCCTTGGCATGGATGCCACAAGTTCTTGATACATGACAGGAGACAGGTGTACCAAACATATAAGCAGCAGTCACATAGTCGAGATCTTCCGACATGGTGGTGCTTGAGCTCTGAGCTACCACTTCATGACATCCCAATGTTCTCTATTTGGTTAAGATCCAGTGAGTTAGGTGGCCAGGACATTAATAGGGATTCATCCTAATGCCCCTCGAACCACTCCAACTCAATTCAAGCCTCGTGATATGGGCATTTTCCCGCTGGAAGATTTCATTTCCAGTTGGGAAGACAGATGCTGCATAAGGAAGCAACTGATCTGCAATTATGTTCAGATAGTCCTCAGCCTTCATGGTCTCTTCTACCAAAAAAAGGGTACCCCAGCCACTTATGAGAGCATCTCCCAAAGAATAAAACTTCCACCTACTACAGCCTATGAATGACCTGCTGTACAGGCGGGAGCAACTGTTCGCCTGGAAGACAGCATACCCTGACACAAACATCAATGTGATGAATGAGAAATCGGAAGCCGTCCGACCAGCGAACTGTCTTCCACTTATCCTGTAGCTTTTATGGCGCAGGCTCAATGTTCCTGGGCCCACTGTAGGCATAGTTGACAATGACACTTGATGAAGAAAAGGACACGACTGGGACGTCTGCTATGTAGTCCCATATCCAACAGTGTCTGTTGAACTGTGCATTCAGAAACACTTGCACTTGGGCTTGCATTTGTATTACACTGTCTGGAACTACATTTTTGTCGAAACTTGTCTGGAACTACATTTTTGTCGAAACTTTTAAAATATTTCAAATGAAGAAAGATAACAAGGAACTAACTAAAAAATTTAAAACGATGAAGCAAATGTCATGCCTTTCCGAATATTGCCGAATGAAATGCTAGTAGCGCCATCTTACGACAGGAATATCGGTGAAAGGAGTGCCGGATATTTGGGTGGGCCGAATCATTGGATGGGGAACTATCAAACTTTTAATATATCTGCTATTCAAGAAAATATAGAATAAAGAATTTAACACATATAACTGATTTTGCTGTACTAAGTGTGCCAGTTTCCGATGTCCTTTTTCTTTGATGAGTAGACGTCCAACACCTTGGCATCGACCGATGGATTTACCATCATTTAGCCACTTTGTATAAATACTACGGAAGATCTTGAACAACCTACCAGTCGTGCAGCTTTGGAGATACTCGTTCCAAGTTTTCAGGCCATTACAATCTGTCCTCTATCAAATTCGTTGAGATCAGTAGCCCCTCCCATCACCTGCAAAAGTTAAGTGCAAGAATGATTTCATACCTCCTCGAACAACAGTTAAATACCATTCCATTTAATCACGTGCTCTCCACGTCATGCAGATGAGTTCATTGTAAAATGTGGGGATGGTCATAATGTCTTAGCTCGTCAGCACGCGTACTTCAAAAGTAAAGTCTTAGGTAAAGATTTCCCACTTCACTATTTCTGCCAATAAACAAATACAAGTATTGCAAAAAAAAAAAAAAAAAAAAAAAAAAAAAAAAATCTTCGAAATACACACTTTACAACCCACTACTGTACTACAGCAATTTGAAAAGCAAGAAAAGGTAAACCTATTTTTCAATCAAAACAATCAAAGCCTATTTTTCAAAGAACTTATACGAAACCTGCTATTTGATAGACTAAGGTGTAGAGTGTAAGCATGAAGTCAATTAAATGAGAAACCAATTTCAGTCCTCTTCAGAGCCAGTTTACAAAATATCATTTAATGTGACTGGGTAACTTGTAAAATTTTAAAACTCAAATAACCCACTTAAAAATGCACTTTAATCATTTTTCTTCTAAACTCTTCACTTGCTTTCTTTTCAAAAATGTGCATCTCTAAATAATGAAATTGCAATAAACTCAATTAAACGAAAAGAAAAAGGAAATTCCAGGTGTAACTCAAAAACTTACCTTTGCCCACTGTTTCTATGAAATGGGATTTTCTATTCCATATAATTACAAATTTCTCTTACAAACAAATATAAAACTGGGCACTTATTTATGCATACATGCATAATCATGTTATTATTTACATGTGAAATATACATTTGTACATGGAGGAGAACAACTTAGCATTTGAATCTATTATGCTTAAAATAATATGATAAATTAATATCATTTTCAATTAGTATATTATTAAATAAATTTTGGAATGGAAAGAACTATTTTACTATAAATTATCAACTAAATGAAATTCAAAATGCTTAGAGTATTTTAAACGAGTTTTTACTGTATCATTTTTATAACAAAAATGATTTTAATATTCCCTGATGCGTAACATTTACACATATCTACAACCTGAATACATTTTAATTTGAACTTAAAATAATTACCTCATAGTACAACCTTTAGGCAGCGTTGATGAAGGACTTGCAACTCGAGAACAAGGAAAAGATGACCCAGGAGTAGAACCTGAACAAGGCAAACTACCTCTTTTAGTCACTAACCTTTGCAAATTGCTTGATGGTTGGTGGATTGAATTATATTGATTAAGCTGAACACTAGTCCAAAAATGAATAATAATTGATAAAATACTGAAAAATGAACTGTGAAAGTTTAATGTGTGTTATTTTAAAAATACAAGTTACTACTACTACTGTGATTGCAAGTTTGGGGGGAAACACTTAGGTTTTAGCACAGCATTTTTCAAAATTTTAGCAGTTCACAACAGGTTACTAAATTCAGAGTTATATTTCAGTATATATTAAAAAAAATATCTGAAAGTCTAATACTGACATTAATGGATTCCAACTTACAATTTTGACTCTTACAGAGCAATTATAAAAGAATTTACAGACTTAAGAATGAGAACATTTTACTTGGATAAAAACAAGTATGATTTATTAATAATCCTATTACAGAATGCTATGTTTTTTTTTAATTAAAAGGAATTTATAGGAAATGGAATTTAGTAGTTTCCTTTAAATTAACATATAGGAGATACAGAAAACTTTATCATCTTCACCAGTTTTTTTTTATTATTATTTTATTTATTTAAAGCATCTATTTATTATGCTCTAGATGAAATTCATGATTCTTACATACAGTTTTGCACCTAATTTTCCAGGAGAGGTTTATTTCCTACAATCAAGTTCAGAGCACTTCAACAAACTGTTTTTTGTAAAAACTCTAATGCTTCACGGACCACAGGACTTTCCCATAAAAAATTACAAAAATATCTTTTTAACAAAGTAAAAACAAAAATCGGTGTTGGATGCAGCCAAAGATTTAAATTTGTAAATGGAACAACAAATATTTTGTTTACTCCCATTTCAATGTTTAAAAGAAAGATTACTGACTTTAAAGTGCTATTGGAGGCCTCACAAAGACATAGATTTTTTTGTCAGGCACACAATATGGCAAAACTCGGATCAAATACCAGATTTAAGACACAAAAAGTACAATTAAATCCTGTTCTGAGATCTTTTTGCCACTTTATGAAAAATCATAAATCTTTCACAGCTATCACCATAAATTCTTCAAGGAAACTTTCCTCTGCTTGTCGGCACTATTTCTGAAAGAATTTAGTTCCTTTTGATTTAAAAAGCTATTTGTTTAATGGCATAATATATTAAACCAAGCTTCATTGAACGCAATTATGCTTTTCTATTCTGTGCAGCTAAGAGTATGTCATAAAGACACCTGCAACTGGTCTTCCTTTCAAACTTGGGTTTAATATTTTGCAATAATGGGTATGATATTTGAAACTTGTTTCAAGGCTTATCATCTTATGATCTCAGAACTTAGCCGGGAAGTACCTCTTATCCAGAAGAAAATGCATAGCCAATGAACACAGGAAGCTGGTCAAAAGCACATGGAAAAATCAGTCTACAACAAAATTAGACTGCTCAGATGTTTATGAATTAGGACTGCTTATGTGGTAGGTATCAGCAAATGAGAATACTCAAAGAACACCATCTGATTGCAAAATAACCATCTCAGAAAGTTTCAGAGAGATCACATGATTGCCTTCAGGGAAGCACGTTGGTCATAATAATGAATTATCCAACATAGAGGTATGAATGATGATAGTCAGACAAAAAGCCCCATTTTTGCTTTCCTCTACTTTAAAATAAAATAAACAAAATATTTGTTTAAATTCTTACTATAAAACTACAATTGAAGTTTTTAGAAATGAAAGAATTGGAAGGTTTCATGCACAATACAGTAATTCATAGAATTCTGCAAATTGTACGCTACCTCATTTCTGCTATTTGATATTTTTACAGTTGCAAATTACTTGAATATTTTTAAATATTATTTATGTATGTTTACTTAATTGACTCTTTTTAAAACTGTGATCTGATTTTTGTACTTTTACTTCATTAAAGGTGAAGAATCAAGAACTATTTCTTTTTAAAAATTATGAGGTTACACAAGCAGTAAGAAAGTAAAATACATAATAAATAATATACGGTTAGTCAAGAACAACTGACAATTTCTCAAAAGAATTAGATCACCCTTGGGGGGGAATATATGTATTTTCTCACATATGTTGAAATTCTGGATTTGGCTATGGTATCATCATATTCTCAATATCACATAGACAAGCAATCATCTAGCTTTTGAATACATTATTGCAATCCAAGAGTTCAAATGGCAAGGAAACACTGAAGCGTCCTTAGTTTTTTCACTGCATACTTTCCTGAATTCAGACTTTTATTACAATAATGACATAAGAATATGTTTTGCACAATTTATCTTTAAGGTATCCTAGATAAAACATTCAGGTCAATCAAGCACCTGGACAGGCAAGGCCATATTAATAGCTCTTGAAACAACTTCCAAAGAGCTTCTAGCTCTGTCTAAAACCATTATCAGACATGCAGGCTATCCATGACAATATACTAAAAGAAATATTTCTGAGAATCTTCACTTTCAGGATATTTGACTGGTTGATTTACATGAAAACCTACATGGGACAGAGCTGCAAGCGAAGCATTTTGCCAGCATCTCAGAATGTTGCACATACATAGCCAGGATGTTACTTCCAGCAGGACTATTTTGACTAGGAACCCTTCCATTTAAACCAATGATGTGAGAAACTCATTTCTTAGAAAAGTTTCTTCTAGTGTTGCTAAATGTAATAATTCCATTACTGAACTCGCTATACAAGGCGATAAAAATGCTAAGGCATTTTGAAAATAGTTTCCAGCATATTTGTGCACCCTTTCAACATTTATACTAACTGTTTTCTCTGCCTCATTTTTAAAGAAATAAGACAAAATGATTTCACACTCCACACCATGGAAACTCCATAGCATATTCTCATCATGGCGTAGACATGGAGCAGCTTCTGTGGATTCCGTATCAATAAGTCTGCTCATTGATATTAATAATTCTACGTGGTGTTACACTGACCAATATTTCTTCTCAATCGGACTCTGACAATACTAATCATGTTGACCATGACTAGAGCAATGTCATGCAGCAGACATACTATATTCATATTTGAAAAGAATATGTCATTTTAAACTTATCTTATAATGATAAACTTCAGTCTTATATGTATTGCTAAGAATAAACTTTTTTTATTAAATGAACTACTATACTTAAACAAGTAAGGTCAAAGTAAGAGTGTAAATTCAATGAAGTACAGTATTTTAAAAATGGATGAAACAAATAGGAAGCTAAATGCACTATGTGTAAACTTGGAACATCTGCTTGTGCGGCAAACACAGTTACTGCTGATTTAGAAACTTGAATGATGCAGAAAACAGCAATTTAAGGATATCTTATAAAAATTGAAAAGCTGTTTATTAAGAACAGTACTCAATTTGAAGCAATTTCTACAGACAAGGGCATTCAAGAAGTATATAAGCTTAGGCCTGCAAAAGTGTAAAAATGGTTAGTGCCACTCAAAATATGACTATAACAGCACAAAATCCAAAATATGGCTGAAAATGCTTATAAAAGTGTAAATTTGCTCTGCTCTCCCCTTGATACTTTTAAAACTCAAAAAACCAGATACTTTTAAAACTCTCAAAATGTCCATGATGCAGTAAACACCTGTAAATGTATTAGCCATTATCTACATCTTGTAAATGTATTGTGTCACAAGTTACCACTGCTAGAAGGATGGCAAAAGCAGGAATTTGTGATCCACATCCATTGCAAGGCGTGCAGTTAACTTGATATTACAGCAGCAAAGCTCAGACTATCACATTAATGCAGTATCCTGCCCAGAAATAAATCATGATTCTCACTTGACTCAGATGATTAATACATCTGACCACAAACCTTGCATTAGCATTTGGGTGTCCATGATACCTGGTCACCTAAGAGACCTTTCACAACAATTTAACACAGTAACATACTGAATTCTACTGCATTTCCAATGCTGCCACATCTTGAAGGCCGCCTTTCAGTACAAAATGCCTGCCCACATGGTATAACACCAAAAATCTACCTTGGTACACTAACCTCCTTAGTTCTCTTGACTGAATTCCTAGTCACATTAGGACACTGGTCACAGCCAGAGGTCAGCTATGCAAATTTTAACACTTTATCATATATATATATATATATATCAGATTTTAGTTAGATGCTTATTTTTTTTTTTCAGAAACAAAAGATACAAATAATTGTTCACGAAATTGTGCATATAGACAAGAAACTATTTTAAAATAAAAAAAAGCTCTTTGTAATTTAAAATGATAAAAACAATTAAAATTTTCCCAACTGCAGACACTGATGAGTAAACAATTATGTTACATAATTTAAAGCAAGAGCTACCATACATTATTTTCAGTTTCTCTGAAGTAGTTACTCTTCTAGAAGGTTCTACAGTTGACAGCAATGATGTTTCAGAAAGAGTTTTTACATAAAGTTTAGGATTAAGTTTCCTTACAGATCTTCCATTCACGGAGACTGTCATTAAATATTAAATATATTCTACAGTCAAAGTTCTTGTTACAGAAATATTATTCACCAAGTTAATAACTCATCCAGCTTTAGCACTACTATTAGTAGCAATGTTCTCCATAATGTCTTCAGATTTCTTTACATTATTCTACATTTAATTAAACGGGAAGAGAAAGTAAGTTTTGAAGTTAAAAGTATGATTATGACATGTAAGCCAAGCAAGCAAAAATAATGCCCCAGCTCCTCAAAGTTCACTACCAGTTACAACCATCTCACACTGTGTGAACTTCTTGAACAGTTACAGAACATCCAGCAATAAATTCCATAGAACAACTTTCAATGTTTGCATGTCAATGCTAGACAAAATATGAACTTCATAACCTGCTGCAGATCTGCACCATACCAGCATGCAATAGTTCTGAGCCTATGTGCTCAATAAATGGACTGACTGTCATCACTTGAATAATTTCTTCATCTCTCTCTCTCCTCATTCTTCATGTCAGATTTCATCATGATTAAATGTTCTTTCCAGATGCACAGCATTTTTTGATACAGTGTGCATTATGATAATTGAATGACACCTGCCACATGTTGCTGTGTCAAAATTTCTTTTTAAAGAAAGCTCGCTATTTATAAG